AAAGTATTCGCTCCCGAAACAAACATAAACCACTGATGATTCCTCTCTACCATTCAGAAATTCAATGATATGGGAACTGTTTTCCGTCTCCTCCTCCATCTTGGTATCATCATGTTTTAGTTCAATAAGAGGACCAACAGCTAAAATCTTCTTCCCACGAGAGGAAGATAAGTGATCAATGTATTTCCCGTCAATCTCTCTGCAGGCTTTCAGCAAAACAATGTCAGAAGATACTTCAAAGCCCTTAGTTTTGGATAGCACAACTTCTTCGGGAACTTTTTCTTTTGATTCTTGGCGAAATGCTGCCATCCTCTTTATTTCATAATCCCGGAGAAAAATTGCAGGAAAAGGGTAAGTCCCATCGATACCGGAGTATCCTTTATTGATGATATCGTAAAAGTACGACCAAGACCAGAAAACTGCTCCACCGCCTAAGAAAAGAACAGCTGGGATATGAAACATTGAAGCCAGCTCCGAGGCCCATGCTTGGAACATGTCGTAGATTAGCAAATCTGGCTGCAAAATGTTTAGGATGTTTTGGAAGTTGGTCCTTCCCATGTAAAACGCAACATGGAGGGTTGGATTCAGATGAGGTGGGAGGTTTTTTGTTGTGTGATAGTGTGGAGGGAGTTCAGGGAAGTGTGGCAAATCAAGTTGCACTAATTCTATTGAATGAGCGGAGAAGTACTCGTCCAAGTTTCTATCTTTCTTGATGAAACTCAGATTGATCTCAGTGGAACAAAAGTAGATCTGGAAGTTGTTTTTGGCAAGTCTCTTGGATAGTTCTAAGAAGGGAGACATGTGGCCATGAGCTAGCCATGGGAACATCAAAACTCTGAATCTACGAGTTTTAGATTCGTCGTTTGATGTCTGCTCCATAGGTGATTTGATTGAATCTCTGGAATCCTATGGTTTTCTTTGTTAGGAGAATGGAAGCATTCCCAAAATAATAATGAAAAGTCTCAATTTTGGATCCATCGGCCGGATAATGAAGTGGAATCTTTGTGGTTGACTCTTGATTCCTTGAGGACAAAAAGATATTTAATTCAATCATACTGCCATCCCTGCACGGTTAAGGGCCAAGATTGGCCCTTAAAATTTTGTGCGGCTGAGATTACACCATGTAACTCGATTTTCGCGTCAAGTGTGGGATCCATCACTATCTGTTGTGAAAATATATCCTGTGAAAAAAAAATTACATGATGTACAAAGAAAGTTACGCGCAGTTGATAATGACTAAAATTGACAGGGTTACAGGAGTCCTGCAACCGTCCGTGCCCCGAGTCCCGGTAGGTATGTAGCATTCATGCGGGGACCCATTTGCAGCTTTACTCTTTTTATTCCTGCCAAAACCCGTTTGCTGTCATCAGACTTTTGTAAAAAAGTTATTATATGCCATATTTGTTGGCTCGAAAACATAACGCGAAAGCAATTTTAACACGGGTCCATGAATAAATGAAATGTACTGGTAACGGGTAAGTAAGAGGCACAAAACTTCACCCACCACAGTGCACGCCTTCACCCTACCATAATTACCCAGTCCCAAGAAACATGAACAACAAATTAATAACAATAATGTTTGTTCGTCAATGTAAAATCTATCGTCAGATAAATATTTTCATGCAATGATTTCCCCTAAATTAATTGGGTATTTTCAGAAAATTTTCTTGTGTTTGTTAAAATTCTTTTAGAATATACTATCCTCTTAAATAGTCTGTGTAATCAATCCACTATCCAAAAAGAAAAAAAGAAGAAAAAAAAAGTCTGTCCAATCTAGTAGTTGGCTGACTTGGCTCCCATCGTACTGCCCTGTCATTTCTCTCTTTTTCCAACACCGCACATGCTAAAAGCGTACTCCACGACCCTACTACTGATTCTAGGAGTGTGCATGGACAAGCCAATCCTTTCTCATTATTTCTTTGCTTCACCAAACCCTACTCGCCATAGTTATTAAACCCGGTCCGGAAAGGAGACCGACAAAGGAGGTGTGTCAACGGATTACTGGTTCAACCAGTGGATAAGTGGTTGAACAAGTAGATCACTAAATATATTTAAATATTATATCTTATAATTTTTTATATAGGATATAGGATATAAATTTTAATAAATAATGTCATAACAAATGCTCATTTAATTTAATTTGCTATAGAATAATTAATTCATATAAGAATCAGCAAAACATAAATTTAATTAGTGATCCACCAAACTTCAAGTGTAAAATTTTATCTATATTTAGTGCAATTATCTAGGTTACTTACGAATTTTAAGTGTAAAAAATTATTAAAAACAATATTTATCTTTAAAATAAATTATGTAATATGTTATTTTTGAAATATATTTTATAATTTATAGAATTTGGGGGTCATAAGTTTGTATTAAAAGATTCCAAATAAATTTGTTTTGGAGAAATAAAAAAAGAATAAAGATAAAATTGATAAAACGTTCATATAGTATAAGAATGATAATTAACTAACATGTGGCAAAATGGTTTGGTAGTGAGCTTAAAAAATGGGTAAAATTTTTTTTCTCAAAACTGGTTTCTCCACAAAATCGGTCGGGTTTCCTGTTTAATTCGGTTGAAACACTAGATCATTGACCAGTCAATGGTTCCGGTGCTTAACCGATCTAATTAGAGACCTGACCCTGTCTACTGGGGGTTGACCGGTTCGACCGTCGAGCCAGACCGGGTCGGGTTTTATAACCATGCTTCTCACAATTTTCTAATAATTCATGAAACAAAGAAAATTTAATGAAAATTTTATAAAGAAAAAAGGAGAAAATTATATCCCTTTTCTTTCCTTATGAATTTGTCTCTGCCCAATGCTGCTGGAGTAGTCCACGTCTTCATTTTCCCACGCCTCAAAGGATACCTCGCATTCTGCTTATCATTTCTTGAAGAATTCAATAGATGCATGTGTTCTTACTTTTCTTTGTTTAATCACCTAAAATACAAAATTGGATTGATAAACCTTTTAAAGAAAATCACCTAAATACATTGGCTTAGAATTCCGGTTAAGGGCAAAAAAAAAAAAGTAATTTAGCCTTATTTGGATTGAAAGCTTAATAAATTTGTATTCATTAAAAGTTGTGTTAGCTAATCAATTCCATTCAATCTCAAATTTACCTAATCTAATACACTAATTGCATGGTGTGCAACATACTTACCTGAATCATTTTTTTTTAATTTTATCGACTATCATTTTGTCTCACATACATTATACCAAATCACAAAAAGTGTTATGAAATTAATCTAATTTTTTTGTTCAACTAAACCTCTATCCAATCACACTTTTATTTAAAGTCAAATGATATCTTTCCCCCTTACGGATCATTCATATTTTTTTTCCTTGGTTTACAATTAGACTGCACCAAAATAATAAATATTTCTTATTTTAACTAATGTGTCACAGCTTTTATGATTGTATTGCAACTGATATAATTTTTTCCTCAACCTCATTTGTTTACGCTCAATTGGTTTACAAATCTCCCACTTTAATGTGAATCTTGTCCTAGTACTTTAGATGTCCCCTTCTATCTGCTAGTGCACCAAACCGTTATGTGGCTCCCATACATGTACAACATTAAGTTGAACTAGCATTTTGCCTGTGCCTTAGCAAAGTTTATTTTTAAAATTTGTTATGAATTTGTGCGAGCATGAACAATTTAGATAAAAAAAATTAACGATGATCTTACAAGTTCATTCATATTAATTTTACAAAATTGATGTAATAAAAATACTTAACTATCATAGTAATCTTTAAAAACTTCTTCACAACTTCTTTAACTATCATACTAATTTTTAAAAATTTCTGTACATACTTTTACTATAATATAAAAATATTCATCAAATATTATAATGCATATCAAAAAATCAATAGATAATCTACTTTTTTATGTGGATATTTTTTATATAATTAAAATTTTTATAATAACCATAGATCTAGCTACATATTCCTACTTAATTAAGTACAAAAGATTTAGCAATTTATTTTCTACATCAACAAATATTCAAATTCCAGCAATATTGATAAATCTATGAGTTACCAGTTAAAGTTTTTTTAACACTAATTTAATCCATATGGATAAAAAAATTATATGAATTTATCATATTGTTAGAAGAGAGAGGAACCATAAGAACAAATAACTCAAACTTATCTAAAAAGATAAAGTTGTTAGAAGAGAGAAAAACTATAAAGAAAACTAATTATAAAAGAATTAGATACAAATATAGTTGAAACTCAAGTATCCAAATAACCGGTTAATTTTCCATTAATTCTTTTCAATTAGGTAAACCACCTAAGAGAGAGAATATGGGTAATTGAAATTACAACTTTCATTATATATATATATATATATATATACATATATATTATGTATTGATTAGATGCGATCAATTGCACACTCATTTTCAATTTCCACCATTTGAAGTCTTCTTTCGAGTTTAGACAATCTTCTATTATCACAACTCCGTTGAAGTTAAACTTGTGATCATATCATAGGCAAATAATTCAATAGTAAAAATGAAACCACAGGAACATGCTCATTTCCCCCTTCCTAAAACATTCAAATTCAGTCAAAGTTTATGATTATAGTGTGAGCTAAAGGTCTATTTCACTTCTAACTCTAGTTGATTGTATATTGTCTTCCAACCAAAAAAAGAATAATAATAAAGAAACTTCTCAAACTTTCACCACTTAAATTTTGTATATTGTATGTAAACAAGACATTTTGACACAAAATGTCTAAAGTGCTAGAAAACTTGTGGAACTATGAGTGACTATTTTGGTAATTTCACAAGCGTAAAAGCTAAGAATCACGCCAATTACGTCCCTGGACTGGATTTGCAACGTGGCACGCCGTATCTATGAGACCTTACTCCCATAAATACAAAGCATCATAACCATAACTTACAAAAATTCACTAAAATTTAAATCTTACATATACCAATGAGACACGTACACTTCAATAAATTATATCTACAAAATACTTTATTCTAACTCCTCAGAATTTAAACATCTATCTATATACCTTTCTCACTTATTTTCTAAATGTACACGAACTGACTTCTTTGATCTGCAAGAAAGATAAATGGACGTGGGTTGAGCGACGTATGCCCAGTGAGTAGTACTTACTCCGCTGTTGGATCATGTAGCTATATACATACTATATACATTTGCAAATTCGGTCACACCATACCACATGCATATAGCAATTACAAACATTTGTCATCTTATTTCATATATTACATAAACATATCTCATTGAAAGTGAGTGGCTTAAACATAAGTGGCCTCTGTCTGACGTGACACTTAGTCCCGTAGGTTCTAGACGTGGCCCCCGCCGAACATAGTTAAGAAATACACATAATATGACATGATTGTATTCATTGAACATACTTGCAAATCATAAATTATATCAATCATGTCATTTCATTTCATAACATAGCTCATAAACAAGCACATGCAATATTTGGCTTCTGAGTACTCAGCCTAGAGATTAAACCCCTTCTAGGTGGGTGACCAATAGGTTTCATGACTATTGATTGGTCTCATTACATACATAGATCAATCGGCCAGACTCTATACCAAACTACCATGACCTTGTCAATCGGCCGGACTCTATACCAGGCTACCATGACCATTAGGCAGGACTACAGCCCCTACCGTTTATTCCATGACCGTTTAGAGCTTTTCGTAATATAAAATCATTTCACACGTCACATGCACCTTTCTTTCATTTTATGAAAATATGCCACTCATTCCATAAAATATTGCATAGCAAAATATTTCAAGTATTCATAATTTCGTGCTTGCAAAACATTTGAAATAGGCATACATGATTCATTTCTTCATATACCAAAATAAAGCTCTTACTCGAAAAAAATATTCATATTTAACATTTCAAAAATACAAAGGGGTAAGCACCACCTACCTCAAATTGCGCTTTTGAAGAGATTCTTAGTGCACCGTTAAACTTGCTTCAAGCCTATAACAAATAACATATATACCTTAATTAATTTAATTATCTTATTCTTAAAGTGCCTAACCCTACCTTAAATAACCAAGAAAACGTGTCTGGACATTCTCTAAAATATACTTATATAGTTTCTTGAAATAAAAGATTTTCCGTTTTAAAAAAGTTTGTTAATTGAGACGATTTTTTTTTAGAGGGTGTCCTAATTTTAGGAAGTCTCTTAACTCGATTATATAGAATTCATTTATTATCAATTTATCCATTCATTCGTTTGTTTGTTTGTTTATTTGTTTACTTATGTAGAAAATGGCCCACATTAACTTGGGTCGGGTCCTGGGTTCGGCCGGCCTAGGATTTAAGTCCGTTTATTAATTAAACTTCTTCTCTTTTATTTTTAATCAACTGGGATTTAGAAGATAATTTGGGTTTCTAGAGTTGGTTTGCGGATTTATTAGATACTATTTAGTAATGAAATTGAATTTAATAAAAGATATCTTGAGTTTGACCAATTAAAATATAAGCCTTGGAAGTAAAGTTTGAATTTCTCTTTTTTTTTTCAATGATTTAATAACTTATAGTGAGTCCATATTAGGATATTTAAAATGCAGCTATTAGGCTTGGTAAAATATGTTCATTCATTTATTTGAAAACCTGATAGGCCCAAAATTTTTCTTTTAACCCAAGCTATCATTATTTTTTCTTTATGTCTAGCTCCAAGAATGATGATAGTTGGTCCTAGTAAATTGGCCTAAATGACCTCCGTTACTTGATTCCAGCCTTGATTATCATATAAGAGAGCACTAGTTCACATGCATTCGGCCTGAGACATTAGTTAGACAATTAAAAATACTAGTTTCTGAGCCTTAGCAGAATTATCTTGAAATCAAGGGCCAATACTAAATTTTGAAGAAAGATAAAAATAAGAAGAACAAATCTTCAAACCCATCATCTCAACCTATGATTTTCCTCTCCTAATATCATCAACAACTGTTCTTCATTTATTTTGTTGAATTGACTTCTCTTACAAACTCAATCTTATGAAATCAAAAGCCATGGCCCTTTTTGTATTTGTAATCAATGCTTTTGTAATTACGCAAATCCCACCAATTTGATCAATCTTTGACTCTTTTCATCCTTTTGATTCTAACCAAAAGACCACAACAAACCATCACTACTTTGCCTTCAAAATTTGTACCAAATGTCAGACTGAAGATTCTGATTCTCTAGTTATTTATCTTTGTTGGGTACAATTTCTATATTTCCTTCAACACTAAACAATCCAAAGCGATATAATATGTGCCAAAGACATTGATCAGGACTATAACAATACCCATTTGATTTTAGAGTTCTGAACATATAAAACCTATTAATAAAACATTGATAATTACATTTAAGCTTGTCAATAGCCTAGGTCCCTAGTAATATGCCTAGGGGTTTTTCTTAGTGAAAATTCAAACAAATAAGTAAACGAAGCAACATGATTGAAATCTTACTCAATCCAATGGAGATGTCGAGGGTGTTGATTTCTCCATATTGAATTAATCCCTCTCTACCCCTTCACTAGTCCTTCAACACTTGACGTTCTTCCTTGCGTTCTTTTTTTTTTTTTCCCACTCTGTCGTATATTGGGTGTTTACCAAATGAATCAAGTGACAGGCAAACAAGTTAGTTATTTAGGCCAAGGAAGAGAACGTGGTTTACTCCAAACTCTCCCCACAACTCCTATTCTATTGTAGTTGTAAAGGCTCCCAACCCCAAAGAATTTGAGTAATAGATAGAAAAGAGTAGGTTAGTTTGAGTAGATGTCTTCCTAAGTTACAAAACATTCTCCCTCAACACCCACTATCCTTGGTGGTTGAGATAAGATAAGATATTAACACCAACCTCTAAAGAGATAAATTAACTAAGTAAACGACTAGTAAAATAATTAATAACATTATTTACAGAAAAAGACGGGCTTTCACATTTCACTTCATGTTTTTGATAAGTGAACCAGCGATTATTTTTTCAGTTTTTCCCCCCACAAAATAACATTTTTAGTCTATTTCCCAAGGATTAATGAACGAGGTAATTAATGTTGCAAAGTCACAACTATGGTTGTCATTTCCTCTCTCTCCTTTACATTTTGATCGTTGAACACAGTTTTCTTTGGCATAGAAATGGAGAACTCTGGAGGTCTGCGGGTTTTAAAGAAATTGGTGGAATTTTTTTAATTTCTTTAATTTTAAGGAATGGTTGAAATTAAGATTATAATTGATTGGTGATTTTCTAATTATAAGAAAATATAAACACACACACGCATACACACACAAACATATAAAATTTCTTCACAATTGTAACCTAGTGAATGGACATCCTAAATTTTTTGTTAAGATGGATTATGAAAAATAAAAGAGATACAAATTAATGTAGAATCACTATATGTAACAAGACACATAAACTAAATTATTTGATGAATACCAATTTTAGAAATGGAAAATAATAGATAAAGGAACTGTTTATTTTGCTCCAAAATAAGAATTTGAAAGAAGAAAACTAATTTTAAAAAAAGAAAGAGAAGATAGAAGCAAAAAGATAAAAAAAAAAAAATTTTTTTTGACATAATGGAGGGGTAGTTTTGTCCTAGAGAGAGTTAAGTGAAAAAAAGAAGTTAATGGGTAAATTGAGAATTGTGGTATACGTTTGGGGACAAATTATATGAAAACTGTAGCTGTCTTTTATGCGTTTTCAACAAGAATGGATTTGGGCTCAAAAAAGTTTAGTGAGTATCGCGTAACTAATTTTTTAGACATTCTTTCTATTCTAGTCTAGCCCATACCAATCACATGAAGGCTTTTTGGTCATTGAATTTTTAGAATTTTAAAACTATAAAATAAAAATAGTTATAAATAAAAAATAGGGATAATTTCAGAAACCTCCCCTGAGGTTTCTGACATTTACACTCACCTCCCCTGTGGTTTGAACAATTACACTAACCTCCCCTGAGGTTACTAATCCTTTACAAATTCAGTCCAAATGATTAAAATATTGTTTTAGAGAGTGAAATTAGAATTTTGTACCTGATTTGCCCTTTGTGCTACATGTCCAATGAATGACAAAGTATTACAAATTAATTAATAATTAATAAATTTTAAGGAGCGTAGTTTATAGGCAAATACGTATTACTTATTTAAAGTACCAGTTCTTTACGGGTATTTTACTTTCAAACATTTACTTTATTACAAATATTTATTCTCAAATACAGATTAGTATTTACTCTCAAATATTTAATTTTTGTTAAATAAAAACCTACCAGTATTTGAGAATAAATATTTGTAATAAAGTAAATGTTTGAAAGTAAAATACCCGTAAAGAACTGGTACTTTAAATAAGTAATACGTATTTGCCTATAAACTACGCTCCTTAAAATTTATTAATTATTAATTAATTTGTAATACTTTGTCATTCATTGGACATGTAGCACAAAGGGCAAATCAGGTACAAAATTCTAATTTCACTCTCTAAAACAATATTTTAATCATTTGGACTGAATTTGTAAAGGATTAGTAACCTCAGGGGAGGTTAGTGTAATTGTTCAAACCACAGGGGAGGTGAGTGTAAATGTCAGAAACCTCCCCTGAGGTTTCTGAAATTATCCCTAAAAAATAAATAGAAAGTTACAAAATTTAAACTATAATGCCCGCAAATATGATGGCCATTTTTTCTTTGGCGTACATCGTCCTCACATAATAAACATTAGAGTGAATAAATTTCACACAATCCATACCATAAAATATTAATGAGTAAAAAAAAAAAAAGGTCGTAAACAATTGAGATACCTGGGATTCCTTGGATTCACTATTCTTGCGACTGGTTCTTGCTGCATAAGCTCTTGAGCTTCTCTACTGCTTCATGCAACTGCCCTTCACCTTCTTCTCTCAACTTGTGACTCAATTCCTTAGCTTTTTGTTTCACTGATACTCCCAGCTCTTTCTTCCCCACGACCACCTCTTTTATGACTTTAGCAGCATTTTCCCTCTTGATCCGCCCATCTTCATCCCTCAAAATCTCAATGCCAACGCCAATCTCCACCGCATGTCTAGCTTGGAAAGGCTGATCATAAAGCATGGGCAAGGCTAACAATGGAACCCCATAATATAAGCTTTCCATAAAAGAACTCCATCCGCAATGGCTCACAAAACCACCAGTGCTTGGATGCTCAAGAATTTTAGCCTGCGGTGCCCATCCATCCACCACCACACCTCTGTCTTTCACCCTCTCGAGAAACCCTTCTGCTAGAGCTTCTTCAAGGGCAATGGCATGTCCCACGGGGAATCTGACTACCCATATGAAGTTAGCATTACTCAGCTCCAGCCCGTATGCCATCTCTTCCCTTTCTTCCTCGGACAAAAAGTATTCGCTCCCGAAACAAACATAAACCACTGATGATTCCTCTCTACCATTCAGAAATTCAATGATATGGGAACTGTTTTCCGTCTCCTCCTCCATCTTGGTAACATCATGTTTTAGTTCAATAAGAGGACCGACAGCTAAAATCTTCTTTCCACGAGAGGAAGATAAGTGATCAATATATTTCCCGTCAATCTCTCTGCAGGCTTTCAGCAAAACAATGTCAGAAGATACTTCAAAGCTCTTAGTCATAGATAGCACACCTTCTTCGGGAACGTTTCTTTTTTAATTCTTGGAGAAATGCTGCCATCTTCTTTATTTCATAATCCCGGAGAAAAATTGCAGGAAAAGGGTAAGTCCCATCGATTGTTCTAAGAAGGGAGACATGTGGCCATGAGCTAGCCATGGGAACATCAAAACTCTGAATCTACGAGTATTAGATTCGTTTGATGTCTTCTCCATTGGCGATTGAATCTCTGGAATCTTATGGTTTTCTTTGTTTGGAGAATGGAAGCATTCCTTATATAATAATAAAAAGTCTCAATTTTGGATCCATTGGACGTATAATGAAGTGGAATATTTGTGGTTGATGAGCTCAAGGTGAGAATATTAGAGTTGACTAATGATTTTAGGAACGAATAGACAAATTAAGAGAAAAATAATATCAGTGAATAAACTACAAAATAGTTATATTTTAAGGGAATTTACTGCAATTAGTCCTTACGGTTTCAATGTTTCTTTGAAGTTCTCGTTACGTAATGTTAAAGTTGACTAATAATTTATGAGGTAAAGTGATAAGAAAAATAAAGTTAGGGGATAAAGTGCAAACTAGTTAAATCTTAGGGGGCTTTTCATAATTAATCCAAATTTTAAGAGCTAAACATACATTTTCATTTGAATTAACAAACTCCGTTAAATTTAACTTTTATTTTTAGGGGTAAAATGACTAAAATACAACGTTAAGGGAAAAGGTGATGCTTGCCTTAATATTAAGAGGGTAAAGTGAGAGTAACCTTTGCCAAACAATTACACATTTCAAAAACTTTCGCCAAAGTTGTACTCGTGTGGTAGAGCTTTACACAGAATCCTCCTATTCATCGCTCTCAACGAATATACAGTTTGACAAGCTGAAGACATGAATATGATGGCATGGATCAAATCTGCAGATCAAATAAGTTTCGTGGCAACTTTCATGCCCACCGGCGGGTCCGTGAACGAATGAAATGTACATTTCGTAAAGGTGCAATGTCTCTAATATACGTGAACAAGACTCAAGGGGATGGTTGCTTTTCAAGTTTCAACGACTCATTAATCGTAAGAGGCACACCTTCACCTACCACAGTGCACGCTTTCGCCCTACCATAATTACCCAGTCCCAAGAAACATGAACAATAAATTAATTATAATGTTTGTTTGTCAATGTAAAATCTTTCGTCAGACAAATATTTTCATGCAATGATTTCCATTAAAATAATTGGGCATTTTCAGAAATTTTTTTGTGTTTGTTAAAATTCTTTTAATATATCCTCTTAAATAGTCTGTGTAATCAATCCACTACCCGAAAAAAAAAAAGGAAAAAAAAAGTTTGTCCAATCTAGTAGTTGGTCACATCGTATTGTCCTGCCATTTCTCCCTTCTTTCAACACTGCACATGTTAAATGCGTACTCCTCACATTATTTCTTTGCTTCACCAAACCCTCCTCACAATTTTCTAATAATTCATGAAATAAAGAAAATTTAATGAAAAATTTATAAAGAAAAAAGGAGAAAATTACATCCCTTTTCTTTTCTTCTCTGCTAATGCTCCTGGAGTAGTCCACGTCTTCATTTTCCCTTGCCTCATAGGACACCTCGCATTCTGCTTATTATTTCTTCAAAAATTCAATAAATGTATGTGTTCTTGCTTTTCTTTGTTCATTGGTGCGGGTAAGGATGATGCTGTCCTTGCTAAAGTTGATAAACCTTTTAACGAAAATCACCTAAAATACATTGGCTGAGAATTCCAGTTAAGGGCAAAAAAAAAAAAAAAAATGAAATTTAGCCTTATTTGGATTGAAAGCATAATAGATGTGTATTCATTAAAAGTTGTGTCAGCTAATCAATTCCATTCAATCTCAAATTTACCTAATCTAAAACACTACTTGCCTGGTGTGCAACATGCAATGCTGTCCATCTCACCATACTTATCATTATTGTTATCACTTTTAGTTTTTGCATACATTGTCTTCACCCTATCACGATCATCATTACACAAATATATGAAAAAGATTATTTATACTTACCCAAATCATTTTTTTTTATTTTACCGACTATCATTTTGTCTTACATACATTATATCAAGCCACAAAAAGTGTTACGATATTAGTCTAATTTTTTGGTTCGACTAAACATCTATCCAATCACACTTTTATTTAAAGTCAAATGACATCTTTCTCTCTTACGGATCATCCATATTTTTTTCCTTGGTTTACAATTAGACTGCACCAAATTAATAAATATTTTTTATTTTAACTAATTGTCACAGCTTTTATGATTGTATTGCAAGTCATTTAATTTTTTTCTCAGCCTCATTTGTTTACGCTCAATTGGTTTACAAATCTCCCACTTTAGTATTAAACTTGTCCTAGTACTTTAGATGTCCCCTTCCATCTGCTAATGCACCAAACCGTTTTGTGACTCCTATACATGTACAGCATTAATTTGAACTAACATTTTGCCTTTGCCTTGGCATAATTTATTTTTTTAATTTATAATGAATTTGTGCAAGCATGAACCATTTAGATAAAAAAATTAACGATGTAATATAACGTGGGGTGTGATCAAGGTTTCGATACAACGTATCTTTAGTTTTTAGACCTCCCTATTACAGCTCGTGGAGCGTTTCGGTTAGATAAAATAGGCCTGCCTTCAATTAGAAAATGTAAGAGCAAATGATGTAAAGGGAATGCTTCCCCTACTCCTTCTCTAGCATTTGCTTCTTGGTATTATTTGGAGGTAAGGTCCATCTCCCCCTCCTGTGTTTATTTTGCTTTTCCAATAAAAGACCAAAATTTAATTTAAAAAAAAATTAACGATGATCTTACAAGTTCATTCATATTAATTTTACAAGATTGATATAATAAAAATACTTAACTATCATACTAATTTTTAAAAACTTATTTACAACTTCTTTAACTATTATACTAATTTTTAAAAACTTCTTCACATACTTTTACTATAATATAAAAATATTCATCATATATTATAACGCATATCAAAAAATCAATAGATATTCTACTTTTTTGTATGTGGATATTTTTTAGATGATTAAAATTTTTATAATAACCATAATCTAGCTACATATTCCTACTCAATTAAGAACGAAAGATTTTGCAATTTATTTTCTACATCAACAAATATTCAATTTCCAGCAATAGTGATAAATCTATGAGTTACTAGTTAAAACTTTTTTTAACACTAAGTTAATCCATATGCTAGAAATGATACAAATTGGCGAAGTAGTTTTGTTGTCTCTTTTCTATATGCTAGAAATGATAAGGAGGATAGGAGAGCCTTATGGAGTGAGCTGTGTAGGCTTCAGAATATAATACATGATTATGTGACGGGATTTTTATATCAATGCAAGTTTATTTCCAAATTTTACCTGTTGGACTGCAAGTATACAGGTCACTTAGTAGTTTTGGGCAAATATCAGGTCGATTCCACAAGGAGCAATTTAAACAAGTGCTAGACCCTTATTTTCTCTATTATTTAGACTTACGATAAATCTAAGCAAGAAGATTATAATGCTATTGTCTACAAATCTGGTTTAATAAATGCTAAATACAAATGGAGAACTTTCACTCAAAATTGAATCTAGGGATGTAAATTCCACTTATGGCATAAACAACACAAATGAATAGATTTACCTCTTGTTACAATCCTTTTTTAACCAGGGATTCATTTCTAATATTACCAGATCTCATTCTCATGATGAAATGGCCTAGAGTAGTCCAGTTTTCCCTATTTTCATGGTGAAATACTAGTTCTACTCTGTTTTCCTTCATGAAATGCTAAATAATCCACTTAAGTATACCTCTATTTTCATGAACATACAACTTAAACTCTACTTATGTGTTTCCAATGTTACTACCAATTCTCATTGAATAATAACAACTATAAACATGCTATTGGTGATCAAACAATAACAAGTAATTACAAGTATACAAATAGACAAGTTAATACAAGATACAACAAGTGTAAATCACATTCAATTCATATCATTTAGTCATAGGTTTCATTTACTCCCTAGATAAAGAAATTTAGCTATTCATGAATGATATAACAATCAAACTCACAAGTTTATTAATGCAAAACATCATAAAATACAAGTACAAGAAAGATAAAGAAAAGCTTAGCCAATTAATGGTGAAACTCTCAAATTTCTGCTATGTCTTGTATAAGATGATTACAAGTGAAGTCTCCTAGTGCTTCTTCAAGAACTTCTAGCTAGAGAGAAACTTGCTACAAGAAGAAAAACTCCCTCCGTATCTTTCCTTAGCTTCCCCTTGTGTCTCTGCATAAAAGGTGGTAGAAAGACACTTTTTTCTCCTTCATGATTCCAACAACTCAGATTTTGTAAGGAAAGTCAAAAGAAATGTTGTTTTGACTTGTCAATAACTCATTTTGTCTTCCCTTTTGTTGCAGAAGCATGTGCCACCGAATTCTCTCACCCAAGATAGCTGGAAAGTTGTGTAAAAAGTGAGAAAAACGGCTGTGCCACTTGCAGAAGAGAAAGGCAGATCCGAGCCCTGGATCCGAGGGGTGCAATACGATCCGAGTTCGGATCAAGGATGATCCGAGGCCTTTCTCACATGGATCCGAGCTCAGATCAGTAGACCTCGGATCCATTACTCCAGAAGTACATTCGAGGGCTTGGATTGCTCTTATTGCACACGGATCCGAGCTCGGATCCGTGTGATCATTTTCTAGATTTTCACTTCATTCCTTTTTCTTCGTTTTTGCTCCTAGTATCCTTGTACTTTTGTCTTCCAGATGATCCTTACATTTTCTTCATCTCATGCATGAATTCCATATATCAATCCTTCACAATTTCACTGAATTAACACGTTAATCCACTCATTTATCAAGTTTTGAACACTTAAACAATATTTAAGCAATTATCACCAAAAGAGTTCAAATATGGATTTAATCTTCTCAAAACCTACCAAAAATTCATGCCAAACTTGTACAAAATGCACGTTAAATATTCACTTATCATTATGCTTGGATTCTAATGGGAGACTTCAATATAATTTGTTATGATTATGAAAAATCTGGTAATATGGAAAGAAACCAGGTTGCAATATCTGAATTTGAAGATTGCTTGCAACAAATTGATGTTGATGATTTGCCATTCAAAGGCTATTTACTTACCTGGTGCAATGGAAGGTTTGGTAAAGATCAGCTTTATTGCAAACTTGACTGGATATTATGTAATGAGAAATAAATGCAATTAT